CAATCTACCAGCTTGCCAGGGACAATGCCCCTCTCTGCCTGCTGCTGCCCCAGGCTCCTAGGACACTTTGTTTCCAGGTCAGTGGGCTACCAGTAGGCGAGTGCAGTGCCATCAGGGAGCAGTCGCGGCGTTGTTGAGGAGGGAAGTCCATCCATGTTGCTGCAGTTGGATTTATTTTACTAATTTTTATGACAAAGTATAATTTTTTTTTGTCGAGTGGTATTGTGTTGTATAAATTTACCACACCTCTTTTACCCAGTCATCTGTTGCCGTATCTAGGTTGCCCCCACGTCTAGGGTTTTGTAGATAGCGTTGCTTCGAACATTGGGGTGCAGGTATTTTTTGATAGTAAAGTTCCCTCCAGTTAGAAACCAAGAAGTAAGATTGCTGGATCATATGGGGAGACTGGTTTTAGTTTAGTGAGGAATTTCCTTACTGTTTTCCATAGTGGCTACACAAAACTACATTCCCAGCAGCAGTGTAGGAGGATTCCCTATTCTCCACACTCTCTACAGCGTTGATCCTTCATGAACTTTTGAATGATGGCCATTCTGCCTGGTGTGAGGTGGTACGAGACGGTAATTTTAATTTACATTTGTAATTAGTGATATTGAGCACGTTTTCATATGCCTGTGGGTCATTTGTATGTCTTGTTTAGGTCCTCTGCCCATTTTCGGATTAGGTTTTTTTGGTGGTTGTTAGGTTGTATGTGCTGTTTATATATTCTGGAAATTAATTAAGCCTTTGTCAGCCGTATCATTTGCAGATTTTTTTCCCTATTCTGTAGTTCGTTAATTTTGCTTCTGGTTTCCTTTGCTGTGCAAATGCTTTTGAGTTCAATTAGGTCCCGTTTGTGTATTTTTGCTCTTACTTCCATTGCCTGGGTAGACTGCCCTAAGAGAACATAACATGTTAAGATTTATGTCAGAGAATGTATTGCCTGTATTTTCTTGCTGAAGGCTTATGGTGTCTTGTTAAGTCTTTAAGCCATTTTCAGTTTATTTTTGTGTATGGGGTGAGGGAGTAGTCTAATTTCATTGATACAAAGGCTGTTATGCAGTTTAGCCAACACTGCTTGCTGAAGAGGCTGTCTCATCTCTATTGTATATTCTTGTCTCCACTGGTGAAGATGAATTGACCATAGGTCTGTGGATTTTTTTCTGAAAGCTCTGTTCTGTTTCATATGTGTTTTTATGCCGTTGCACATATTTTGTATAATTTATTCCTAAGTACTGAATATTGTGGTGCCATTGTAAATGATATTTCAAAATTACAGCTTCCAGGTGTTCATTTTTCTGATATAGAACTATAGTTGATTTTATACTTTGACCTCTCTTGCAGCTTTGCTAAACTCATATACGAGTTTTAATACCATTTTTTGTAGATTTTGTAGAATTTTGTAGTTTCAATATATCTGTGAATAACAAATGTTCTACTTTTTGTTATTCTTATAGTTCAGTATATGTGTGTGTATACACACACCGATTTTTCTTGTGTGTTGCATTATTTCACTGGCCAGGATCTCTGGTAGATTATGAATAGAAGTAGCGAGAGATCTTTGCTATATTCTCAAAGTTAATGGAAAACATTCACTCTTTAGCTGTTAGGTATGATGTTAGGTGTAAGTTTTTCATGTGTGTCCTTTATCAGGTTGGGAAATTCCTCTTATTCCTAGTTTGTTAAGTTTAGTTTTAAAAATCATGACTAGATAATGAATTTTATCTGATGCTTTCCCCACATTTAGCAATAGGATGCTATGGTTTTTCTTTTAGTATGAAATGCATGTATTGATTTTCAGTGTGAATGTGACCTTGCATTCTTAAAGTAGAATCTTTGTCTGGTGTTGGTATTAGGGTCGTGGTAGTCTTATAAAACGAGTTGGAAATTGATCCCTTTGCTTCTGGTAGAATTTGTATTACCTCTTTCTCAAAGGTTTGTTAAAATTCAACAGTGGATCCTTCAGAGCCTGGAGTTATCTTTGTGAAGTTTTTAACTTGTAATTTAATTTATTTAATAGACACCGTGCTGTTATTTTTCTCTTCTGTTTATTTCTTGAGTGAATTTTGGTATTTTGAGTCTTTTTAGAAACTTGTCCATGTCATCTAAGTTGTCAAGTTTATGGGTATAAAGATGTTTTATTATTCCCTCACTATCTTTTTATAGATGTATGCTCTGTAGTGCTTTTGTTTATATTCCTAATGTTGATAATTTGTCTTATTTGTCTTTTCTCTTTATTTGTCTGGCTAGAGCCATATGATATTACTGATATCTCAAAAAAATTAACGTTTGGTATCAGTAATTTCTCTCTATTGCTTTTGTGTTTCTAGTTCCATAATTTCTCCTCTTGATTTCTTTCCTTCTGATTGTTGTGTGTTTAAGTTGCTCTTCTTCTGAGACTTAAGATGGAAGCTTAG